GTTAGCCCCATTGAAAAGGATGGTAAAATGTCAACAACATTGACATGCAAAGGACTACCTCTTGTAATCCTCAATGATGAAGATGATTCATTCATTGTTTGACCAAATTTAAATCTATCAAGAACAAAAAATTGATTATTTCATCAAAATATATGAAAAATAATAATAAACAGAACACATATACAAATTTTAAATAAGTAAAAAAAAAGGTAAACAACTAAAATTAAGGAGTACTTACGAAATTGATTCAACTTGGGGAGGGAACTTCGACTTCGGGAGGGAGAAATCTAATTTTAGATAACAATTTGAATTTCAAACCGGCTAGCTGGAGTATTAAATGTAGGAGAAAACGTTGGAATGTTAAAAGGAGAGAGAAAATTGTATGTGAAAAGGAGAGAGAAAATTATTTTTTGTATAATTATATACAAAATTAGAAAATAAAGTTTTTATACAATTGGTTACATAATAGGTTGTGGACCCCATTAAATATAGCAAAAAAAAACTAAAATTATATAAGGTAAATAAATTAAACTATACCCCTAAGATATAATTAGTTATGAATGTTTGCCATTTCATATAATTTTCCCAAAATAAAACATAAACTAATTAGATTAGTTAAGAAAACACGTGTTAAAAAATAAAAACAAAAAATATGTTTGAAATAAGAATAAAACAAAAATAAAAAACATCAACTAATTAGATTGTTTAAAAAAAATATTTTAAACAACTAAAAATAAAAAAATATTGAAATAAGTGAAAAATAAAAAAAGGAAAAATGGTCAAGTATCTCCTCAACCTCTGTCCAAAATTAAAATTTTAGGGACACACTTATACTATAATAAGGTCCTATTACCCCTGAACTTATTTTATAAGTAATTTTCTACCCCTTTCAACCTACGTGGCACTAACTTTTAAAAAAAGAGTCAACCAGCGTTGGATCTCAATATAGTGTCACATAAACTGAAAAGGGTAAGTTCCGGGGTAATAAGACCTTAGTATAATATAAGTGTGTATCTGAGATTTCGGACATACCAAAAGGACTTAATAGATGTCACTTGTCACTTGACAGATGGATCATATCCCATTTATTAATTAAATAATGTCTCACACAAGTATGATTTGACATACCTCATACAAAATAAAATTTTTTGATATAATTATTCTATCAAGATACATAAAAGTAATATTTTTAAAAAATAAATTTTAAAAATATTATATATAAACTGAAACGTAGACTTACAATTCTGAGATGGGCTTTTATTGAATATGGAACAGAAGTAATCAGCCCAAAGCTATTAACTAGACTGGATACTCTCTTCATGTGGAGTCCAGCGTAATTGTTGTTTACTATTTTCTATGTAGAGCAACTTTCACATATAGCAAACAAAAAAATCATATTTGTATGTTATAGCAAACTTTGCATAATTGCGCTCCGTAGCAAACATAAAAACTGTATAATTCGCTATACATATACAAGTGTATAATTCGCTGGCCTAAATTGTATAATTCGCTGGCCTATTTCGCCGCAATTGTATAATTCGCTTTGCATATAGTTGAATCG